GTCAAGAGACAGCATACCTCCAAATGAGCACCCTAATCTTTTGCTACCAAAGAGCACATACTTTCCATTCACTACATAGTGATAACACAACTTCTTCCCCTTCCCCTTTCTAAATAATTTTCCCAAGCATCTCACCTGAATATAAAAATATTTCTTCACTCTTATTTTTATCAGAAAAGACTTGGTTGTGTAAACCATGCAATCATGATGTCCTGGGTTTTATTCGGACTGGGGGCCTTTGTCAAATAAAGACAAATATTCACAAAAATATCTTAGAAAAAGTTTTTCAGATTCGCCCGTCAGTTAGTCCTTGACATGAAAATGCTGGATGTAAGATGGGTTGTTTTCTTTAAGAAAAACTAGACATCTGGTCAGTGTTGGAGTATTCAAGGTCGGTCTTGGTCTCGAGACTGGTCTCAAGTTAACTATTTGAAGGACTTGGTCCCAGTCAGCATTTTCACTCAGCCTTGTCTCGGTCTCAGACAAATACTCTGGATTTTATTTCAAGTTCAGCAGGACCACAACTACCAGGACATCACTTAATTGCCTGTACAAAAGAGGAGTGCTTGAAAACAAAGGACAGTTCCCACACATAAAATTCAACCCATCAATGCCCTTTGATTATTTTATCAAGGCCTTTTTCATGGTACACTTATACATAGACACATATATACAGTACGGCAATGAAAGATGTAAATGGGGTGAATCTTCATTAGTTTTTTTGGATGTCTGTATGGGCATGTGGATGTGTCAGATCAGTTTGAGTAGTACCTATGGTTTGCATGTTTCGGATTTTAAGTGTGTGTTGTGGGACTCAAATTGTTCTGTCTTGAATTGGTCTCAATTCCTCAGAGTCTTGGTCTTGTCTCAGTCTTGATACACTCTGGTCTTGGTCATGACTACAACACTGGGTGGTATCTGGTATCTAAACCTCTACACCAGTGTTTTGTCATTCAACCTATCACAAGCCCATGGAGGGAATCTCACAGTTGCTTTGAAGTAAACAACATAAAAGCATGTTCTATGAGCATTTTAGCATCTTTCAGCACACTGTTTTGTTTTGTTTCAGCACTGTCTCCAGCAGCAGCAGGCAGCTGTTTTCAGAATAAAAAGCCCTGATAAACTGAGTAGGCACTACCTGCCCAGCAGTAACAAAGTTACCAACTAGCTGGTGAACATAATGGAGAGTCAAGCTGCTTAAGATCCCAGTATCTTTATCAGTAGATAGTGTATACCAAACAGAGCTTTAATGGCTCAAGCTTTCCTGGTTTTTCTGATGTTGTCATCTTAATTAAAAGTGCCAAAAAGGCCAAAAGGTGCTTCACCACCCCATGACCAGAGCAGGTCACTTTAATAAAGATGCAATAACACTATGATTGCGATTACCACTAATTATATCTTTGTAATGACGTGCAGTTGATTATTGTCCCATATCCATGTACCAGAAGGTGTTCATAATCAATTCCCACAAATGTAATCAGAGGCTTTGTTCTGCATCACAAGTTTCTTCTCATGATTCTTGAACTTGTTGCATTGAGCTGAAGATTTAGAGGCGAAAAGCTAAGGCTGCTGTTATCTGTGCACATCTTCCCAGGACCATAGATAATTCACCGTGATACTGTAGCTCTCTAATGAGTCAATTCACACTTCAGCAGGCAGGAAACTTTGAGGGCATTTTGCCATTTTCATACTGCCTGAGAAGATATAAATCTGTAATCTGGAAGCCAATCTTCCTGATGATGATTGCAGTCTTTCTCCTCTCACTCTCATCCCCCTGCTGTTGTTTTTCTCCCATCTGCTCAATCAAAGGTGATAAATGTGCGATGGTGATAGAAGTGGTCGAGACCAGAGAGGGAGAACGATTCAGAGAGTGACAAACAGAAAACAAAAACCGCATGCTGGCTACAAAAACAGACAACTCTAAAGGTTTATGGGGAAATTACATTTTATATCATAGTTGCACAGACAGAATGACATACAAGAGGGATCCAAACATGGATCAATAGATCAATATTTCATCCTCTCTCATTCAGCTCTAGTAGACTTCTCTGCAGAGCCCTTTCATCTTCACAACCCTCTCTCTGAGGTCAATTTTCTCTTCCTCTCTCTCGTAGATAAGTTAATATCTCAGACTGCAGTATGATAACAGATGCACTGTGTGTACCTGCAGTGAGTATGTGCCTGACTGGGCTTTAAGCCACTGGAAATGGCCACAGAGCTGCAGAGCTATGGTATTGTTAACTTTTCACAGGGTGCTTTCTGGGTTAGCTCATTTGTTGGAAGAGAATGAGCGGCGATACAGAGCTGCTAAATACCACTAAGCTTCGTAAAGCACATATTGACTGGCAGGTCTCAGACCTCTGAGAGGAAGCACAAGAAATGAAAACAGCAAATCAGAGAGGTTGTTAGAACTGTTTTTTCTCTTGCAGTAGGACAAACCTGCTGCAGGGAAAAGAAATTGGCCTTGTAACCACAGGAAGCCGGTTTATACTACTGAGCCTCGCCAACAGAAATCTGATTTTGTCAGTTTCTTCCAATATCAGACACGTCTCACTTATCGTTGGATTCACAAGCATCCCAGCATGTGTGCTACTCTCACAAATGATGAGGTGAGCGAAGCTCTGCTATTTCCTCTGACTGTCATTCATACAATCTGCTGAACGCAGCTGTTTGCTGCAGATTGGCAGCCACTACATTTTCTAGTACAATGCTATGTGTGAGATGCGAGGCTTTTTATGTTGGCTGTGTGTGAGTGACTATGTGCTTGATTACTGTTATTATTGTCTTACCTTGTGTATTTGGTAATAGAACAGTTGTGCACTTTTATATTGCTCTTAAAGGGATTCCTTGTCATTTTTAAACCAACTTTGTATCATAACAGTGCGAGTACAGTGTGTAACTGTGGTTAACTTTCATCCATCTTACCAGCGCCCAGATCTGCCTGCTCATCTCTCAGCTCAAATCTGTAGGTTCTTGGTCTGTTGCTTAAACAACAGATTGTATTTCCACGTCTTTGTATGCCTGCCACCACGGGCACAAAGAGTATAAAAGAGAGATCAAGAGAGAGACCCGCCTCTCTTTCTCAAACTCAGACCAAACTCAGATCAGACAGTAAAACAGGGCCACGCTGATCAAATATGAACCAAAATTCAGTTACTGTGTTGCCTATCTCTCACCTAAAATGTATTCAGAAACATCTTTTAGTGCACTGTTTAGCTGTAATATGAGAATATCTGAACAGGAAGAAATACAGGTTTCCTGTATTGTAAAAACAGAAGCTTAAATTAAACATTAAAAATGAGCAGTGCTGTTAAATATGAACTAAGATTCTGTCACTGCATTGCCTGTTTCTCGTCTCAAATGTTTTCAGAAACATGTTTTAGCTCACTGTTCAACTGTAAATCGAGACCATGTGTTACCAGCCACCCGCCATACTGTTTCCCATGTCAAAATGGGCAAGCTCACATTATGTCACCCACCACTGGAAGTGTGTATTGGTCCAGTGCAGCACAGTGCATTTTCCCAACAGTAAAATACGTTAATTCATCTGGAGCATCAGAAATGTAAACTACATTGGATGCAATTGTAACATTTCCTGCCCCCCAAACCTGAAAACTCATATTTCACACAGTCAGCCACAGGAATTGTAAAGTGTGAAACTTGTAATGAAACTTAAATCTGTCCTCTGCTTTAAGGCACTACTGTAACTTACCTAAAATAATTGTATTTGTCTAGGTTTCTGTCAAGTTTCATGCATCGCACACTGTCTCAGGGGATTTGTTGGTGTGAAAATGATCAGATAGCTGTTTCTTGAAGATTGGTCTCGACTTAAAGTATCCTCTGCCCACTGAAATAGTTTATATTTGTATTTTTTATTCATTGCAGAATGATGTTTAGTATAAGTTGATCATCTAAATATTGTGTTTATAGCAATATACTGTGAGAAACTCAAATCATTGTTATATGTTTGTTTTACGCCTGGCAAAATGTAGATGTTTTAAAATATTAAATATCAGAACAAATGTCAAATTTTAGAAGTGTGACTTAAATCAATAATAGTCTAGCCTCAGAGAGTTGTTCTGCTCGCTGTCAAATCCCACAGCACAGTTTGCACTCTAAAATACTTTACAAGGTTTTTGGAGGAACTTTTCTGCCCCACCTCCATCTTTCAGAAAAAAAGAAAAAACAACAACAACAACCTCCCTCCATTGATTTCCTGTTACTTTGTGACCAAAATAGTGCAGTGTGCTCTGTCCCTTGTGTGTGCTGAGCTGTTCTAAGCAGGCAGGCGGAGGCAGGCTGTGGGCTCGGAACAGAGTAGAAGGGAGATGACAGTGTGCAAGTCTGTGAGAGCCTCCCATGACAGTCAGTCCCAGACGAGGAAGCCAAATAAACAACTAGCAAGCAAAACACAGGGCCGTGCCTTGAGCCTGGAGAGAGAAAATAGAAAGAGAGACAGGAGAGAGCTCGGGAATAAGATGACACAGCGTGCAGAGGCTTCCGGAGAGGGTAATGAGTTTGGCCAGGTTCCCATGAAATGCTGCACCACACACAGAGAGGGAGAGGTTCTTCTAGTCATCATAGTCGGGATAAAAAATGGCCCCATCCATTTATCTTTTGTCTCTGGAAAAGAAGTCCATTGTAGTTTCTGCATCAGAGAACCCAGAATTCAATTACATACGATGGCTATGGATGGTGCAGCAGAGAAACAAGCATGCTCCTGCTCTTTACTGTCACTATTGACTTCTGAATGCTATGCTTATACCATTTGAGCCTTAGGGTACATAGACCCATCACACAGTTTGGAGGACGAATGAAGAGAGATGAAGAGGCATTAGTAATATTGACCATATTCACAGATCAATATCCATTTATGCTTCTGTTATGGGTGCATCTGGGTGAAGTGGCTCCTGCAGTGACCCTTTCTTTCCCTCTCTTTATTCTTCCACCATTCTTTCTTTCCTTCCTGCCACTTTCTACACTTTGCTCACCCCATACAGAGGGTCTCTACCAGCTGGGTGGTCCACACTGTGCCCCTCAGAGCAGCATTGAAGGACTGGAGGACGTAGAGGTAGGATCATTGTGAACAGCCACTCAGTATATTCACCAGCAGCCAAGAACACATCTAAGAACCTGGTTATTTGTCTTGCTATGTGGGCCCACTGCTTTTCACAAAATGCTGCCTCTATTCTTTCCTTCCTTTTAAGTTTTCCTTTTAAATCTGAACCCTTTTGCAGAGGAAATGTAAGACGCATGTGCTGCTGCTGGTGGTGCACGGGGGAAACATCTTGGACACAGCAGCCGGAGATCCAAGCACAAAGGCTGGAGATGTGGCCACCCTGGCCTCTGTGCTGGAGAAAGTGACGCGGGCGCATTTCCAGGCCGCCGCCACCGAACATGTGAAGATCAAACTGGTGCCATGTCCGGCAGTGTGTGCTGAAGCCTTCTCCCTGGTGTCCAAGTGAGTGCTGTTACCAGAACAAGGAGTCTTATTGTGTACACTTGTCATTCCTAGTGTCTCACATCCGGATAATATCCAGGTGGTTTAATAAATGTTTGCTTTTTGGCAACACACACACTGGTGACAAATCAAAGGAAGAGCCTCACTAAATAGCTGGAGAGGGGGTCACTGAATGCTTTTTGAGTTAATAATATGAGCTTCATGGTCATCATATCTCATCCCAATTGAACACCTGTAGGAAATTTTGGACCAGTATCATCAAAACACCAAACGAGGGGATGTATTCTTCCTATATTCATCCCTCTAGTATAGTTCCAGTGACTTGAAAAATCAACGTCAATTGACATCACAGCTGTTCTTGAAACTCGTCATGGCCCAAAACCTTACTAAGACACATTATCCACCTTATTCGTAGCCCAGGTCGTCCTCCCATCTCTTGGTAACAGAGGATGGTGATTATATTATCCAATTTAAAGTGTGACAGATTGTGTTCCCACATAATTTATTTTCCAAAAAAGACACCTGTTGCATACTGCCAACTCGACACTGGTTATTGAAAGGAATATGTGGTTGTTGTACCTATTATTCACAGTTTCACAGAGAATTATTCGCTGTAATTCACATTGTAAGTGGAAGAATCATGGAGATAGGAATATGAAGGATAATGGTGATTTCCTTTCATTTGTAACCCACCTGTATAGGTGCCTCCCACATTTGCTACATGGAAATCTGGGTAGGTGGATATACTGTGTCTGAATCTGTTTAGTAACAAAGGTTACGATATCGTGACTCCATTTCCATTAGCACAGGCCAACACTCTTTCCCAATTATGAGGAAGCATTTGCCCACTGAACTTTGCATAAATGTTCTGTCCTTCTGTATGCGTGTCTGATGTACACACATAGACAGATGGCTAGACAGAAAGTCTAAGAGGCTTGAATGATGACTCAGGCGAAAGAGTAAAGTTGACCTCTCTTTTCTTGCATGTCTTGAGACGTCATGTTTCTCTCATCACAGACTTTTTTGTGAAACTGAAATGACAGCAATATATATATATATACACAAAACATTACAAAGTAGCCCAGTAGCTGTGAAGGCTGCCCTCACATTTATGGCCAGTGACCGACATGATCTCCCTGCTCTCCAGGCCAGCTTGGGAGAGCTGTGTGGACTAACGTTAACTGATTTTTATGCTCCCCAGTCTAAGGCCGCCGTTGCTGTGGCGTCCCTAGCAACGGAGCAGCAGAGCAGTGGTGATACCTCAAGAAATAAACACCGCAGAATTTTGTTGATTGACCAGTCAGAATCAAGTATTTAAGAGTGCCATGTTCTAAACATCAATAATCACATGGTAGTCACATGGTATAAATGAATAGTTCACTTACAAACAATGCTTCTCCAAGGCTTTACACAAACAGATGGAGTTATATTCTAAAGGCAATGCACAACAGAGCCTCTCCAGCACGCATTAGCAAAAACAAAGATGGCCGAAGTGAACCATGACCTACTGTAGGTCACATGTTTGATTAAACCAATTAAAACAAGTAAGAGTCGGTTTCTTAAGTGCCTTTACTCTAATGTCATACCATAAATAGTCAGCAGAGGGTGCTAAACACAAAACAAACAAATGTTATATGACAATAAACATAGGCTGTCAAAACGTACCTACCCGAATGTATGCTGCGCAGTTCATAAGGCAGTTCCACTGAGTGATGTAGGAAAGATCCTGCACTGTGAGAAAATCCACCATATCTGCAACCGGGACTTCCGTCTTTCATCAGCTGTGCCGAAACACTGATGAGGTTCCTTAGGCAGCAGCTACATCAGTGGATAAAACTGATCAGTGGGCAAATCTAAGGAGAACAAGATAGTGAACAGCATTGTGTACTGTATACCTTGGAGTCTGCATGTATTCAGGTAGGCACGTCCTGATTGGCAGGTCGGCAGCTCTGCAACTTCACCACTAGATGCCACTAAATCCCATACGCTGGGCCTTTAAATTGGAAAGTGCTACATCTGGAATACGGCCTCATCCGAGTATCCATACAGAAAATGCCGTTTACCTGACCTCAAATTCGGAATACTGTCATATTCGTTATGACAATGGAATATTAGTGTGCATATACAGTACAGGCCAAAAGTTTGGACACACCTTCTCATTCAATGCGTTTTCTTTATTTTCATGACTATTTACATTGTAGATTCTCACTGAAGGCATCAAAACTTTGAATGAACACATGTGGAGTTATGTACTTAACAAAAAAAGGTGAAATAACTGAAAACATGTTTTATATTCTAGTTTCTTCAAAATAGCCACCCTTTGCTCTGATTACTGCTTTGCACACTCTTGGCATTCTCTCCATGAGCTTCAAGAGGTAGTCACCTGAAATGGTTTTCCAACAGTCTTGAAGGAGTTCCCAGAGGTGTTTAGCACTTGTTGGCCCCTTTGCCTTCACTCTGCGGTCCAGCTCACCCCAAACCATCTCGATTGGGTTCAGGTCCGGTGACTGTGGAGGCCAGGTCATCTGCCGCAGCACTCCATCACTCTCCTTCTTGGTCAAATAGCCCTTACACAGCCTGGAGGTGTGTTTGGGGTCATTGTCCTGTTGAAAAATAAATGATCGTCCAACTAAACGCAAACCGGATGGGATGGCATGTCGCTGCAGGATGCTGTGGTAGCCATGCTGGTTCAGTGTGCCTTCAATTTTGAATAAATCCCCAACAGTGTCACCAGCAAAACACCCCCACACCATCACACCTCCTCCTCCATGCTTCACAGTGGGAACCAGGCATGTGGAATCCATCCGTTCACCATTTCTGCGTCTCACAAAGACACGGCGGTTGGAACCAAAGATCTCAAATTTGGACTCATCAGACCAAAGCACAGATTTCCACTGGTCTAATGTCCATTCCTTGTGTTTCTTGGCCCAAACAAATCTCTTCTGCTTGTTGCCTCTCCTTAGCAGTGGTTTCCTAGCAGCTATTTGACCATGAAGGCCTGATTCGCGCAGTCTCCTCTTAACAGTTGTTCTAGAGATGGGTCTGCTGCTAGAACTCTGTGTGGCATTCATCTGGTCTCTGATCTGAGCTGCTGTTAACTTGCCATTTCTGAGGCTGGTGACTCGGATGAACTTATCCTCAGAAGCAGAGGTGACTCTTGGTCTTCCTTTCCTGGGTCGGTCCTCATGTGAGCCAGTTTCGTTGTAGCGCTTGATGGTTTTTGCGACTCCACTTGGGGACACATTTAAAGTTTTTGCAATTTTCCGGACTGACTGACCTTCATTTCTTAAAGTAATGATGGCCACTCGTTTTTCTTTAGTTAGCTGATTGGTTCTTGCCATAATATGAATTTTAACAGTTGTCCAATAGGGCTGTCGGCTGTGTATTAACCTGACTTCTGCACAACACAACTGATGGTCCCAACCCCATTGATAAAGCAAGAAATTCCACTAATTAAGCCTGATAAGGCACACCTGTGAAGTGGAAACCATTTCAGGTGACTACCTCTTGAAGCTCATGGAGAGAATGCCAAGAGTGTGCAAAGCAGTAATCAGAGCAAAGGGTGGCTATTTTGAAGAAACTAGAATATAAAACATGTTTTCAGTTATTTCACCTTTTTTTGTTAAGTACATAACTCCACATGTGTTCATTCATAGTTTTGATGCCTTCAGTGAGAATCTACAATGTAAATAGTCATGAAAATAAAGAAAACGCATTGAATGAGAAGGTGTGTCCAAACTTTTGGCCTGTACTGTACATGTAGTTACTGTAAAGCCCTAATGAAATAGCAAATGTGAAGGCCACTTCAGTGCTCTGCCACAACTATCTCTACGCTGCATACACTTTTTTTCACATAAGAGAGTTTTATGTGTCAGAGTAAGAAAAACACAGATGTGAAGTAAATTAATGGTGGCTGCATTCAATTTAGCTATATCAGTTTTAGGATCCTGTTATTATGCAGCTCACTCACTGTCATGGCTTACTAGGACAATTGAATATGTAGTAGTAATGTAATTAGTAACACCTGTGCTTTTCCTGCCATGACATGTCAAAATGTCTGCTGTGAGAAAAGCCTATTGTGTCTCAAGCCATCTGCTTCTTTGACGTCAGATAGTGATCAGATCCGCCTGAGATGTATAACATGGTGTGATTCATGCTAATTGATTTATTAAACCTGGTATTAAGTCACCACCACTTCCCTTAATTTGTTTTTATGAGTTTTCAGGCTCCTGTTGTGTTTTTGTATTCAAGCAATATTCTCACTGGTTTGACTGACAGCCTTAATTACTATTAAGCAGTAGTGAACGGACCACACAAGACTTCACTGTTAAAGGAGGTATTTGAGGAATCTGCTCAGTATGAATGCATGACTGCAAGAATTAGCATAGAGGGAAAAAATGCCTCAGTGGTAAAGATGATGAAGGTTAATTGAGAAAATATATTGACCACAGACCCCTGTTCACACAGTGCAATGTTAATTAGTATGCTGATGACATTTCTCAGCTACTGCAGGCACATGGCCATGCGGAATATTTATCTTTAACCTTTTTAAATGCTGTTGTTTTAAATTGTTAATTCTCCCTTGAAGTCTGGGAGGTGGCTCCTTAGTAGACAAAATGAACAACTAAAAGCCATTATACAGTTTCCACTGGTCCCGAGGCCTCTTCAAGGAATGTGTGCAATGATCTGTTTGTCTCATTAGCTACTGTTAATTTGTATTCAGGTTTCATTTGTGGTATCGGTGTAGGAGTTAATTGTGGATGGTGGTACCTGAGAGATGAACAGCAGTCAGTAGATGAGTCCTCCCTTGTGATAAATTATACAGTATTATCTCCATTAAAACTCTCGGGTCTTTTTCCTTGCTGGAAGATATGTCTTAGATGCAGGAAGTAAAAACAGGTCTGAGTTCATGTGTTTCCTCGTTTTTTAGTCTCATCTGCTGCCTGCAGAGAGCTCCTTAGGCGTGACTAATGATTTCATTTCACATTTAATGTCACATG